CCCCAAAAGTTTTAGGAGGAAAAAAAAAAAGAACCGACTGCTTCAGAGCTCTAGCTTAATTTGAGCACACTTAGTGCATTGTCCCTGAGAGGCTGTCACGCTGGATGACCGCCTTTGGGCGTAAAACTGGTTTTTAAGGGCTATTTGTAAAACAGATCAGAAAAGGCAGCTAGACTCTGAAAGTAGTCCTTGTTTCAGGAACAGTATGAATAAAGTTGAGGTCTGGGCTGTTTCTCAGCCTTCGTGCTTGTTTGTACTTTAGTCTGGGCAACAAACTAGCAAAAGAGTTTTTTGGTTGATACACTGGCCCCTGCCTTGGTTCACTCTTTGCAAGACCTACAGTATAATTTAGAAATTGTGTGAGAATATAATAAATTACATAAATATATAGAGGTATTATACCAAAAAATGAGGAAAAAAAAAAAAGTATTTTACCCATTTAAATGCTTTCAGATTAGACCCAAGTGGCACAACTTAGTACAGGAGAAACACAAAGTTAAGTGTCAGATACTAACACAGTATCACATAAACAACTGCTTGCTGACTTGTGACCCAGACAGTCCAACTGCAGTAATTTCACGTCAGACTACAGAAACTAAAAGTAACAACTAGGAATTAGAATCGCAGAACCATAGAATGGCCTAGGCTGGAAGGGACTTTAGAGATCATTTAATCCAACCTCCCTGTCATGGGCAGGGACGCCTCTCAACTAAATCAGGCAACACATGGAACGAAACGGGGATTACAACAAGCTATTTGTTCTGCAGAACACTCCTGCGCCAAACAATTGTTGGCTAGAGGACAAGTATTTCCAGAGCAATTAGAGTACCTTAAAGTTTATAACGTTCTTACAAAATAAGAAGTTCGCTGCATGTTTGCCAAAACTTTAATTAATCAAACATCAAAATTTAATAAATTCTACTTATGTTTAACTTTCTATGACTTCCTACAAGACAGCAAATACTTTCGTAACTGCATTAAGAATATTAAGATAATAGAAAACTGAGGTACATGGAGGAGGTAAAGTCAACAGACAAGTATATAAACACAAACATGAAACTTGTAACAGTTTTAGAATGGCCATTACAAAAGTTGTAATGTCAGAAAAGTTACTTAAGCCACTAGCTTAAGTAACAATGAAAAAAATCTACAGTTACTTCTAAGATTATTTGCTTAATAATAACCCTAGAGCGTTTTATTTCAAAAGAGTCCAGGAAAACACTTGCTTTAGCAACTTCTTCCTTGTTTTCAGCTATTTGACAACATGCCCACATCTCAAAATATCAGAAATTTGAGTCAAAGTTACTGCTGGAAGTGAATGACATTTCACAGTATAATCAGACTTAGTAGCATTAAATCATAGACTTGAGGACCACTGCATAATTTTTGATATTTTTGTGGTTCTTAATCTGTGCTAGACAGACTTTAGAAAGATATTAAAAATGACAGTAAAACCTGAGGCTTCTGTTCAAGCACAATGATACAAGCAAGCTCCTGTTAAAAACAACAGCTCAAAACCCACCCTCCCTTCACTTCCCCTTATTTCTGCTCTCTTCCCCTCATTTGATACAAATCTCCTTAGCAATCAGCATATTTCCCAGACAAGCATGCTGTAAGGCACTAGTAACTGCTTATTTTTTTTTCTTTAAAAAATATCAGAGTATTGAAACTTGTAATAAGCCTAGAAGAGGACTATCCTTTTCTAAAAGCCTTCTCTTCTGATGGCGGAGGTTTGATTATATTTGACATGAGAAGCTCTTAGTTTCCCTGAAGGGGTTACATAACTGCAGTACCTCCCTCTCCCTAGTCTCTTCTTTCTTTGATACCTTTATTTTGGGCAACTGTTTCACTGAACAATTAGTAAAATAACTTTGTCTCCAAAGAATCAAGTTCATTTATTTCAAAAAGGATAAATGCAAGACAGTTGCTTAATTTAGAAAAGGGAAGAAGATCCAAGTACTGGGATGAAACTGGCCAGAATAACGATTTTCTATTGTTATAATGACCTAGAGTAGTCCTACCCAAATGCTGCTTTAGTGCAGCACTGAGGATCAACAAAGGCCTGTGTGATGCAAAGAAGCACGCAAGAATAACAACGTAAGATCTCAAGTTTTTACTTCACCATCACTTTTCCAACAACAAAAAAATCACCTTCACAGCACACTGTGAGAATGTCACATGTAGCAACACTATATTCTGCTTGATAAAGAACAGCATCAGAAACAGCAATCAGAGTTAAAAAGTAGTCAATCAGAATTTCTTAATTCCAAACCATGCCATTACAGCAGTTCATCTTTAAAAAAATTGGTTTGGAAAGAAACTTAACAAAATTTTTGTAACTTGCTAAAAGATTGACATTAAAAGCCTGGGAAAAAGATATATTTGAGTGTTCTTTTTGCACTTGTAAGCAAAAAACTTCACTTAAAAATAATGATGACCAACAGTTAGTTTTCATAGTCTGTGCTTATCTCTGGAGTAAGAATGTTTGATGCTCTACCCAGAATTTCAGTTTAAAAGACAGGGTTATTGTAGAGAATTTCCTTTTTTTTTTTAACTTGTACTGAGTTCTTAGAACCATTTGTATATTAAGAGTGAAGCTAACTGAACTTACTCTGTTATGCAGCTTGGATGCAGTCTCAGGATTTCCTGGCACATCACTAAAGAAGTCCTCTGCTGGTCAGATACAAATACCTAATTGTATTTACAGAGGTAGCTAGAGCCACAATCCACGTACTTCAAAGGAAGAGGTCCAGACTTTCACATGTATATAAACATCGGTTTGTTAAATTAACATTTTCTTACAATTGCAGCTCATAGTTTGACTTTTCATTTTACCCCAGTGGAAAAGGGCAAAAGGCTTACTGACACTGTGTCCATACAAAATTTTCAGTTTTTCAAATAGTGGTACAAAAAAAAAAAAAAAAAAAAAAAAAAAAAAAAAAAAAAAAAAAAAAAAAAAAAAAAAAAAAAAAAAAAAAAAAAAAAAAAAAAAAAAAAAAAAAAAAAAAAAAAAAAAAAAAAAAAAAAAAAAAAAAAAAAAAAAAAAAAAAAAAAAAAAAAAAAAAAAAAAAAAAAAAAAAAAAGACTCTCCTAGTGTGCTTTCTCACAAAACACTTTAGATCTAGAAAAATTTAATTTTTTTTTTTAAAAAACTAAAACATAAGCTCTGAATCATGCAAAATATGACCACCTCAGCTACATTAGTCTAATGTAACTGGGCAGTTGGGGAAGTTGTCAGACCATCCAAAGAGGCAGTGACAGTCCATTCTCACAGTGCCAGCCTGATGTGTGGGCCAAGTTAATGGAAAAAAAAACCAAAACCCCAAACAAAAAACACTGAGTCATCATCACATGCTCGCTGCATTTTTCATTTTGATATTCCCAGTCAACCCCTCTCTCTTGACATTGGTAGTTGACATTTACCACTGCACCACCACAGTTAGAAGCAGTAAATGTGTTTTGTTTTGTTAGCAGCTATACAGTGAGTGCTATTCATCATATCTAGGTGGGTCCCCATCACTTGAGAACATTGACAATTTCTTTCCATGATTCTGCACGTGATCTTCATTCATCTTCTCCAAAGCTTCAATCTAGAGCCAAAAATAAATCCATGCTGAAATCATAATATCACACCTCCACCAGAAAGTTTCTAAATGGTGTTAAAAGGTAGCGTTAGATGACTGATCAAGTTTATACAATATTATATATATTACACAATATTGATGTTTCAATGATTCAGTGACATGTATGGGCCAATATAAGTACAGCTTGAAACATCTGTTCACAGCAGATTAGTAAAACAAGTAGTACTCCTTGGTAGTTTCATGTTGTGTAACTGAAATGCACAAACTGCAGGGAATACTGGATGATTCTTAAGACTTCAACTGCATTCCCCAAACTACACAAGTGTCCCTTTCTCCAACTCTGGACACCTCTACTGTAACAATCCATCGGCATTGGAGAAGTCTCAAGTAACACAAACACTACAAATCCACTGCAATAGCTTTTAATGGTGAAAGCTGAAGACAATTAAATGTTTTGTGCATTCAATGTTAACACATATGAGCAGATTATCTTCAGATTGTTATGTTTAGATTGCTTCCTCTTGTACTCTAGTGGAGATAGTTTTAGTTACTAGCAACTAATGCCCAAGTCTGAAGTTTAAGGATGGGCTGCTGAAATAAGCAATTTTATGCAACATGAAGCCTTTTATACTTCGGAGCAGGGGGGTAAGTAAAAGAAGATGGAGAGGTCTAAGAAAAATATGTAGAATGATTGCTGAAATTATACTTACACACTAATCATACAAACTAAATTTGGGAAGCTGAAATACTACAGTAGTTGCTAGCTAACAAATTAAAATGAGAGACACAGAAAACTGTACCTCTTCTTGGAAGTCTACTTCATTGTCAGCTGTGATATTTAAACCTGAGACAGCATTGAAGAGTTCACGCTCATTAAGTGCTTCTGCCACACCTCCTTTCTGGAAGAACTAGTCAATAAAAAAAAAAGCACACATTAATCACTTCACTACACAAAACAAACCACTCATTTTCCTTCCCCAAGTTACAGTTACAGTATTTAGTCAAAATGACATTTTTGCTTTTGTCAACCTCCTGATAAAAATAGATGAAAGAGGTTTTAAGTTCTAGTGGTACCATTTTACTCTTCCACACTTTTTCCCTTTTGGAGAAGACAACACTCAGTGTGAACAATTTGCAAGAACAATCTTACATATATGTGGTGGTGATCATTTTTAAAGGGAGTTGTATTGGTTGGCCAATAGGTCTAGGGAAGTCATCCTCCCGCTCTGTTCTGCCCTAGTGAGGCCACACTTGAAATACCCTGTCCAGTTCCAGGAACTCCCCAGTTCAAGAGAGACAGGGAACTACTGGAGAGAATCCAGTGGAGGACAACAAAGACAACTGGGGGACTGGAGCATCTCTCATGATGAAAGGCTGCCAGAGCTGGGATTGTTTTGCCTGGAGAAAACTGAGAGGAGACCTCATCAATGTCTATAAATATCTAAACGGTGGGTGTGGGGAGGATGGAGCCAGACTCTTTTCAGTAATGCCCCATGACAGGACAAGGGCCAATGGGCACAAGCTGGAACACAGGAAGTCTCCTCTAAATATGAGGAAGAGCTTGTTTACTGTGAGGGTGACAGAGCACTGGGACAGGCTGCCCAGGGAGGTTGCAGAGTCTGTCTTTGGAGACTTTCAAAACCCACCTGGATGCCGTCCTGTATGACCTACTCTAGGTGATCCTGCTTTGGCAGGGGGGTTGGACTAGATGATCTCTAGTGGTCCCTTCCAACTCCAACAATTCTGTGATTTTTTTAGTTAGCTGCAAATTGATTTTAGCTTGGAAGATGTTCAGCATAACAGAAGACTGTCAGATGAAGAGGTCATACCTGTGAAACATTCCTACAGTCTCTGAATAAAAACTCAAGTCCATGAGGATGTGTTGGCTCCACAGACTGACTGACATCAATAAGCCAGACCTGCAGTCACAGGGAGAGAGCAAGTCACTTTGTGTTAACATTTCACATTAGATGAAACCTTTCCTTCCCATATTAAGAATAAGCTCACCTTCCCATCATGCCAAAGCATGTTGTATTCACTCAGATCTGCATGGACCAGGTTGCACTCCTTGTACAACTGCTGCATCATCTGCAAGGAATCAAATTAATGAAGGGAGTATGCTATATTCCAAATAAATATTTGCATGACTATAACAAAAAATCCAAAAAGCCTTTCCCCAGTCACCCAGCCAATTTTTTTTTTTTTTTTCTTCTCCAAGTCTTCAGTGAAGCTCCACACAGGCAATTGCAGTTTTGGTAAACTGCCAGCAAACTAAGCTTTTATCAGTGAGCTTTGGCAAGTCAGAAAAACCAGTCTGGTAAACTCACGCCAGCTCTGCCAAGCAGTCCCAGCGCACGAGACAGATAAACATGTTCTCTAAATATACCTGTCAGTCATTCTCACCCCTATCACACAGGAAAGAAGTCTCACTGAATCCTAACCAGCAGGCATATTCACTCAAAACATGGTTGCATTGCCCTACTGGTCTCAAGATTTAAGGCACAGAGCATCCATATTATCAAGCTGTTGGGCTGTTTGGGGTTTCCTTTGTTTGGTTTTTTTAGTGTCTACAATGTAATAGTGAGTGAACAATTAGCAAGCACATGTTTGAACAGATAATAGGAAAGTAAAGTATCTGCCATGCAATATTCTATTTCATTCTCCCATTTCTGCATTTGCTAAAAAGGAAGGTTGGGAGGGGGTTAGCCACTGGAGAGTGCTTAAGCATTGTAAAGTATTTGGTAAGCCCAGAGAGACTTCAGAGAACTTTCTAAACCACACACTGCTCCCACAGAAAGGAGGACTACTTGCTCATAATTCCTCTGCTGTTTATTCCAGCATGTTTTCCACTCAGATTAAGATTCAATTTATATTTTAGTGCATAGTTTCTTATTTATTCTAAGTCACACATTAAACAGCAGCAAAATATGCCTTTGGACTCCATATCTCAAAAGTGATAAAAGCATCCTGCAAAGTAAATAAGTGCTGATTTGTCCTTTTAAGTTATTCCCCTAAAAGAAAACACAACCCAGAAGTGGAGGAGAAATCAACATTGTCTTACATTAAAAACCTGATAGTAGGCCTTTTTCATATCTTCACTACTAAGTGTTACATCCTTTAGTTTAGGAGCTGGAACTTGATCCTGGCCAATGAAAGACATAACCAAAATATGTTTCTTAAGGATAACCACTTGAGGACAAGGAATTCCTGCATTTTGCATTCTGTGGATCAGAAAATAGACACTGATTAAGAAAAACAAAACAAAAACACCCAAACCCTACAGTTCTAGTTCCTGGTTGCTCATTTCCAATCTTAAGAGCTGTGTGTGAGAAACCTGATCCAGAGTCAAAAATTCTTTGAAACAGACTGAATTGAAAACTGAATAAACATATATTTCTAAGTATTTCACATAGGGAGATTCAGATCTTAAAAGTCCTAAGTGGGTCTGAAAACCCTCAGTGAAAAGTAATCACTTTTACAGCTAGGGCCTATTAACTTCCTGGGCTTGCAAAATTCTGCTGCCAAATCACTGAAGATGCTGACAGTTCATTAACCAGTAACCTCATTAACCAGAGGCTTATTCAATTTATGTCAGGTTACGTACTATTTAGATTAAAAATCAAATCCAAACCTCTACTCAGACATAATGTATCTTCCATAAACAGAGACTACGGAAGCAACAGGCACCTGGTAACTACACTTTTTTTTTTTTACCTTGTTAAGTTATGCATTTCTTTCTCAGCCCACATACGAATAACCTTTCGGGGATTCAATTTACTGAAGCGATCTTTAAATCTGTAGTCATCCTTAATGTATTTGTCACGGTTCTTGAATTCATTCAGAGTCGTTTTAAACACTTTGATGGCACATTCTGGAGGTATAACTTTATCTTCAGTTGCACTTCTTTAGGAAAAGGTCAAATACATAGAGTTAATTATTCACGTCCTCACAAGCAAATGCATGGAATTTTACTTTTCAAACATCGCAAGATGTAAAAATTTTTAATATAAAAAGGGGAAAAAAAAAAAAAATCTTACTTTCTAGGAAATTTGGAAGACAATTTAAGTTACATTTATAGGAGTTCCTTGATTAAGCTTACATATGGACATTCGAGTTTTGGCATTTTGATATGCTGCTTACCAAACAGTTTCTATCTCCTGATTTGTTAATATTTTATTTAAACATCACAGCTAATAAGAACCCTGTTAATGGATGTACCTGCTTCAAGAATGACAAGTGAAAAGAGTCTTGCATTAGAACAGTAATGGTAGCATAGGAATGTTTTCTTAAGCGCCACAAGGGTATCACCCATTAAACAATATTAAGCAAAAGAACATTTCTGAATGGCATTCAAACAAGGATCAAGTAAAAAAAACCCACCTGAACAAAAAAAAAAAAAAAAGCACAAAAAAACCCCCCCACAAAACCCAAAAACAAGCCACCACACATCTTTTCTCCTCACTCCCAACTGATGTGTCTTTTGACATCTCTACACAGGTCACCTGTATTTAGGTTTTTTTAGTTCTTTCTTAACTCACTTTAAACTAGTGGTGTTTCAACACACTACAATCGCTACTAACGTACTACAATCCTTCCAGCATGGTAGCCTTTAAAACCAGACTCTTGCACGACTTGCAAAGTGACCAGCATCCCAATGCAATTCTCAGAGTAACCCAAAAATAACAAAGAGCACCTCCACTGCACTGCACAGCTGGAGCTGGTAATACAGCAAGCTCTACAGAAAGACAATTTTCAGGTAGCTGCAAAGATCATCACAACAGCTCTGTAGCCTGAGGCAGGTCAGTGGAAAGAGCTCCCCCAAAATCTCAAGACTCTCTTCTGTAAAAGGAGTACATATTTTCCCCACAGAAAGCTAGTGGATTTGTCCCTGTTCATTAAATGGTCTCCCATGAGGAAAGTGAGGATATTTTTACTTTACAGTTCACGTAATTTGGTTTACAGATTTTATTATTATTATCTGCATCTATAGAAATACAAACTTTAAGTCTTGGTAATGAAAACTACAGATTGTTTAAATATTTTTGTGTTTTCTGCTTTCTAACCCATCTCTGGTAGGTACAGCTACTGTCAGTAACAAACAAGATACTTACATTCCTCCATAAGCATGAAAAACAACAGATTCCTTTCCTGTGCTGATGCAGCCTGTGATGGTCTCCAGCATCCCAGCATTGACCATCTTGTACAGAAGTAAACGTGTTTTGGGATCCACTGCTTTCTCCTACAGGCAAGAAATTAATACTCAATTCATTAAACAAATTCTTTGCTTTACAGCAAGTTTATAGTATACTGCAAACATTCAACTACACGGAAAGAATGCATTAAGAGCATTCTCTCAGTTGATAAAGATGAAAAAAAGCCAACCAAACAAAAAAAAAAACCAAACAAACCAAATAGATGCAGCAAAGTGAAACTGCTCCAGTATTGCTGTCTTTAGTCCTGAAGATTTAATACTCGGGTACCTTACAGCTGTGTAGTATATACAGTATTTTATCAATTCTGCATCAAGTGCAGACTATGGATCAAGAGCACTTAGTATGGTTGTCTCTGTTTAATCAAAACTAGCAGAATAGTGTTTTCAAGAAGCCTTTACAAATCATGAATCATAATATCCCAAATATTGCATTCCTTTCATATCAGTAACAAGAAAACAAAGCACAACACCCCAAATTGATGAATTTCATAACAGGAATTACCAGAGGCCTTGCTGTTAACTCACACATAAAGTGTATCAACTGACTTCCCAAATTAAGTTAGAGTTTACTTGATCACCTCATCTTCCTGAAACTTGCTATAAAGACAAATATTTGAAGTCACATGGTTCAACTGCAGAGGATTAGTCCACTGGATGGTTTTTATAAAGAATTTCTAGGCAGTTTATTCATTGTAGCTGATTAAGAGTTAAGTTTAGAAAGACAAAGAAGAAAAAAATGCAAGCTGCTCTGATTTTGATATGGCTCTCAGAAATGCAGCTCAAAGACATACTTTTTCTAAGAGCTGGCTGATACCATAACCTGTTAATACAGTATCATTTAACTGTTATAGTAAAAATTGAGTGTTTCAAAGAATTACCAAAAGAGTGTTCAGACAAAAAGCATACAGAAAGACTTTATTAAAAACATACTGCAGTGGAGTGCTCCTTCTTTTCATGGAGCCTTGCACTTCGACGTTCCTCAGAGTACGCGTGTTGCTTTAAGGCATTGAAGACTTGATTTGACAGCTTTAAGTCCATCCCAATTCCATCCCCAACTTGGAACTCAGGTGCAAACTACAAGTAGAAATAATAGAAATGTAAGCATTATTACTAGCAGGCACAAGCAGAAATTTCTCATTCCGATTTGAAAAAAAACTAGGCTAGGTTAGGGCCTATGTGAAACCCACTTTGTGTAATGTTGTCACTATGTTAAAAAACATACTGTTCTAAACTCAGAATTCAAAGTTTTGCCCGAATTGATATGAGATTACCTGACATCTTTTAAAAATAGCACGTGTAGCATTTCCTTATTCGCAGAACTTGCACCAGTTACATTAAAGAAAACAGAAAGCATGTACAAAGGATAAACAGACTGAAAAGCTGCAAGTCAAACAACTGACTAAAAATAAATTACTTGGCTCCTCAAGCAAAACAGATTTTAAAAAGAAAAGTTACACTATAGTTGTGCTTTTAAAAAACAACCTCGGTGGTTTATTTGCCTGTGTACCAAACTTGCTGATAGCTTTGCTAAAACATTTCTGGGCAAATTTTTGAATCATGGTCATTAACAAAGTATTATCAACCCAAAACCATCACAACTCAAACTGCCAATTGGAATAAGTAACTCAAACACAGCATTGCTTTCACCTGATGAGAAAAAAAAAGGTACAGCATATAGAGTAGCACAGATGGATAAACATTAGTTCTTTGGCTGAATTACAGCATTTCGGTTTTACACACACAGTAAGTTACCATAAGTTTTCACATACATTTTCCATGCGAGCTGTGTTCTTCCTTCCACATACCACTTCATCATGTTTAGTGGTAATGTCTTTTCCTTTTCCTATAAAGCCCCTTCTTGGTGTAGTAGTGGGTTTATCTGCCAGCAGTAAGAAAAACAAACTTTACATCTAAACAAATATAACTATCACCCATAAAGGTTCCATAATGCCCACCAAAGTAACACAATTCATTAAACACAATAAAATACTTGAATTGTATGATCTTTATGTAGTCTCCTCTTATCCTCAACGTGACAACTTTGTTATGTTACAACTTATGTGTCCTCTTCTGTGGCATCAGACACTTTTGGCATGTTAAGCGTAGGAACATTCAATATCACGTGCAGATGTCCCTACCCAAAAGCATAGATGCATATCCCACAAAACTCTCCACACACAATAGTTTTTGCCAGATTCAGCCACCAAAGCCAATACATCAGCAGACAGAAGGCTGAAGTTACCCTCCAATCTTCCTGCATAACACCTCCCAGTCAGGTGACCTCATTTTACATACGACTGGTATGTCTTCTCACATTCAAAAAACCCCCAAACTAATTTAACTATGGCATATTACTAGGTCAATTAACCAGAGAAATTGTATCATTTAAAACCATCACATACCTGCTCTATAAGGATCATGACGGGTATCCTGCCAATCAACCTCGTCCTCTGAGCTGTCGCTGTCATAGGGATGCACCTTCCGATAATTTTCAAAGGATATGGAGACTTGAGAAACAAAACAAATAAGCATGTCTGTGACTATCAGGGACTTGCTACTTCCTCGCAGCTCTGTCAACGTTAGCACACTGCCAAGAATATCTCCAGAGCAAAAATATTTCTTCCGAGGAGGGTACCTTTGCTATCTCCATTGATCTTCTTCTCTTCACGACGAAGCTGTGCGTCATATTCCCTGTCAAATTCCATCTGCAGCATCTGAGCTAGCATTAGGTCACTAGAAGTGTCAATATTTTCTCCTGTAATAAACGGTCCTTCAGCAACACTATGTAAAATCAAAATAGAAATTAAAATATATTAAAAAATAAAATTCATTTAAAATTAAATAAAGTAATCTAAACAAAAGCACTGCTTTGCACCATTTCATCACTCTATACAAAAGATCTCATGCAGAGCTCCATAGAAACTAGTGGGCCTGAACTGCCCACCCTCCTCCAAGGCAACACTAAATTTTAACAGAACATTTTATTTATCTTTGTCACTCCTTTACGATGCAAATATTACTTAAGCTTTCACTTGTGTACGTGTTTCTAAGCAGCATTAAGCTCTACTTTTAAAATGCCCTTTATGAAAGAAAAAGAAGGCATACAGGTGTATATGTATATATTGTTTACAACTGAATAAATTAAAAAAAAACAAAGAAAAAAGGCAACAGTGTTGCTTTGCTCTGCTTCACAAAAAATACCTCAGGCGAAATTTGTAGTAAGCTCTTGGCATATGTCTTCAAGTATTAGGAAGATAGAGGAGGTAGATCTGACAGTTCTCAAGATAACTCTGCTAACAAGAGTTAACACTGTTAACAAAAGTCTCTAAAAGGGAAGAAAAAAACCCCCTGTTTTGACAACATTTCTCACAATGTAGCTTACAGACTGGCTTAAAGCACCCAAAACAATGAAAAGAAAATATCAAGAAATAAGGAAGGGAGACACAGAAGAGAATCTAAGGAAGAGTTTTAACTGGGGAAGCCATCTTGGCTAAAAAAGACCTGAAGAAGCAGAGTTAGAAGGTAACAGGCAAAGCGTTTACTGTATCACTACACCTTAAGCACAATGTAAGAAAACACACAAGAGATGAAAGATGGCTCCACACCTACATAGGTCACTAATCCAAGATTTAAACTTACGCAACCACTTCAGGAAAAGCAGCATTTTCTTCTTTGAGCTGCAGCTCTTTTGCCAGCTGTTCACTCATTACATCAGCAAGGGAACATGATATTGATGTCGTGTTAGGGGCTCCCCACGGACACTATAAAAAGACATTTAATTCAAGTCAGTAAAATACAAAGTGGCAACACAACAATCAGGATGATTAGCTAATGCTTGCTCTAAATTAAGCTCATGTAATCTTTTAAGAGCTTGTCTTCTACAGATACTTAGGGAAGTATAATCAAATAAAGTACAGAAAATACTTCAAGGAGTAGTTTCATAAAGTCAACAGGAAAAACTGTGATTAGAAAGATGTTAATGGTCCCTTACTAACAGGGGAAGAAAAAGAACCAGTTTGCCAGTGCCAACACCCTCTGAAGACAGCAGCAAACTTCCCAGAAAGTTTGTTTACAAGTGTACACACAAACTGTATAAAACTTTTCTTGAAATAACACTGTGTGAGTGGCATAGACCAGCTTCCTCCTCGTTTGTACAGCCCTGACAGAACAGCCATCGTAAATGTCCCCTCAAAACCGCAGAAGCAGGCACACAGCTTTGCTCAGGGCCGCGGGGGTTGGGCAATGACAAATTCAACCAAGTTGGGCCTCGATGACCGAACTTGCTCAGATCCAGTTCCCTGCTCACCTACAGAGCCTGGAGAGAAGCAGCTCCTTTATCAGGGTCTCACAGGAGCTCTCCCCACCAGGAAGATAACCGCTGGAGCAGTCAAACAA